TGCATTTGATACAGCAGCTTATTACATCTTCGAGACGTCTCACAGCGCTTCACAGAATACACTGTAAAGTATAGTGACTGTAGACAAAATGTTGCTCTAACTAAGGGACTTGGCGGAGTGAGAGCTCCATGAACAGATACTCTTGCACCTGTTTCTCAGATGAGTTCCAGGGTCCAACTGCTATGATGGAAGGTTAGATAAAACCTTGTGTTTGGTTTGCAGTCAGCGGTTAGGGAGAGCTTCAAGACTATAGCCAGAGTGGCAGTGAGAGAGAACCCGCTCAGGTTAGGGGGTGACTGATTTGCAAGCATTCTCACCAGGCCAGTTCACGCTGATGATAAACACAACACGTTTTGTGATGGTTATTTCCATCAACCATGATTTGTTGTCAGTCTGCATTAATGTCAGCGTTACTGTGTGTATGTGCAACAGCCCTGTAGTAATTGTATTAGTTGTTAATTATCTGCTGGAGATGTTCCGATTCAAGGCACAGGTAATTGAAGATATGGCTTGACCATGAAGAGATACGACAAAGTAATGGGCTCTATATGGATCACGGAGGTTCAATATAGTCCTGTGCTCTGGGCAACAAACGAGTCCATTCTAACATGAGAGACACCAGACTTATCCTTTTTAATTTTTTGGGGGGTGACTGGGCTTGTAGAATTTTATCATCTTAAAAATCCACGAGGGAAAAAAATGATAAACCTGTTTCTTGAACGCACTAATTTTGTCCTTTTCCATTTTTTTCCCCCTCCATATTCTGCAAATCGTGCCTCGAAAAAGCGTCTGAAACAAAACACTTCAATAACATATTGTTTTATCCTCGTGCTAAACTCTTGGTTAACAGCATCTCTGACGCCTATAATTCTCTGATCAGAAGTCTTTCAGCGACGTCGAAAAGATGATGGAGCAGCCAAATAGCTTTTTTGTACTTCAAAACGGCGTTTATAACAACGAAAATGTCAGGTTTGAAATACTAAAGTGGTTAATGACACTGCTCGGAAACTCTAATGCTGACATTTTAAAAGTACTGTGGCTTTGCAGAAACATTATATCTGCTTACATCTGATCTATCTCGGCAAATCACAAACACACTTCGATGTAAGGTTGGCGAGCAAATCCTGCTTTTCATTCAAAAGAGCAATGTGCTCCCACTGGGTCCAGCCCCTCTCTCGTCAAACACATTCACCTCACTTTGGTGAAGTTTCACCGGTTCCCAATTGGCGCTTGTTTAATGAAGTTTTCCCGTCCAACTTGTCAAGGAGAAAAGTGAAGAGATAGCAGAAGCAGATTTATGGCCACTCTCATTGCTTCAAACACTGTCAATAATGATAGTTTCTCTCCCTGATCAAACTGCGGGCAGATTTATGCTGTTGGCCTCTTTCCATTGATAAATGGAATTAAGTTGCCCAACCTAATTCCACTTAAGATCCTTAGAGCTACCAGAGAGAGGCATTGGTGTCAAATCCCAGCTCTCTGCACTTGATCACAACCCAGATCTGATATCAAGCCGTTGATTTAATAATCCACTGCGCACTTTCTTTCTCCACCGGGATTCTCCTCCTGCTTGAAGCTGGACAAACTCTTCATAGAACCAATGAACTTTACAACACAGAAGAAGCCCATCTGGATTCCTGTAGCTCAGTGGTGAGAGCACTCGCCTCGCAAGGGAGAGGACCTGGGTTTGATTCCCGTCAGGAGAAACATCGGGAAAGTTTCCTTACTCCACACACACGCCTCCGTTTAATTAGCAGTAAGTAGGAACCCGGTTGTTAGACGATTGGCAGATCGCTTTTCCGGGGGTAATAATTCCTTCAAAAACAAATAATAATAATGAATTGGTCACTCAACCTGTTGGCCTCAGATGAGGTGCAAGCGACAGAGAAGCCCTTTGGACTAAATTTCTCTCATGAACAATTGAGGAGACAATGTCCAGTAGACTTATAATAAGAGTCATATTATAATCCAAAGGCCGAGGAGGGTAGTTGCAGTACAATATAAAGTCACATTGATAACGCACCTTTCACCCTATCGGGAGGACGTCCCAAGGCACTTGACAGTCCTGACTTGGCACCTGAGCTGGAGGTGGGAGTTGAGGGAGAGTGGAGAGGGGAAGGATGACCTAAGGTCAAAGGGGAAGATCTTGAGATGGACTTTGAAAGAGGTGAGGGAGAAAGCGAGACAGAGATAGACTTCCAGAGAGTGGGGGCAGATAGGGTGGAAGCCTGACTGCTGATGGGGTATAAAAGGTCATCGACCTGAAAGGTTAACTCGCTTTCCTCTCTCCATAGATGCTGCCTGACCTGCTGAGTGTTCCCAGCCACTTCTGTTTCTATTTCAGATTTCCAGCACCTGCAGTATTTTGCCTTTTATTAAATATCTAATAGTCTCACAGTATCCAGTATTGTTATATTGCTTTCAGAAACAATGCAACTCAGTAAATAGGATCCTGGTGCAATGGCTTTTTTTATATAAGCGATGAGAATGAAAAATTTGCTGACTGAAACTACATGTGATGTTTAATAGCTCCCACTGACTTACTTATGTTCGTAGCTTTTGCCAAAATATAAATACAAAATCTGCTGGGAGACATTTAACTGCGGTGAAATAACTGAAGTACTAATTCAGCTCCTCGAGTTTGCTAATTTTTAGATTGCAGTTTTGATTTAAAGAGGCAATTACAAACTGAACAATTTTAATTTGGTATCTCGCAGCGCGAAACAATTCACTGTATTCACAAGAAGTTTTATCACCATGATTTTTATTACAAATCTCAGGACCCAGATAATAAAACAACATTGAATGTGCCAAAATACTTCAAACATCAGAAATACTGATCGCAGCACAACCTCATAGCTATTGTATATCACAATTATTTGTATAATGTGAATGATGTGACTTGCATTTGAACATAGGAATGCATAAGACTGGAGAATAATATTGTGTGATGTCTGGCCTTTCCCACTATCTAAAATACCATTACTCTCTATCTCTCTAATAGTATATCCTCACTGCAGTCGTAAATTATTCCATTCCCTTCTCAAACGGTCAACGCCAGATTTGTTTTATTTTTCGGGGGAGTCTGACACACAAGGAAACCCATCACCGTTGTCTTAAGAGTCTCCAAACCAAGCTGAGAATTCCAGGCCTCCCATCTACACGAGGAAATCCCAAAGATAGATTGTTGGACTGAAATGCGCGCTCCCTCCCACTGGAGGGAAACATCCTGCTTACCTAATTCTGGAGAATATTAGGCGTAGGTTGGCAAGAGCCAAGGCTTGGGGACCCCACAGTGTGCGTTGAAGTAACTGCTGGAGTCTAACCAGCTAAAACCACATAACTTGCTTCCTATATTTCTAGACCGCTGTTCATGTGGACGTTAAGTATCCCACGGCTACCGTTCAATAAGAGAAGGAGGTTTCTTTTGTGTCCTGGCCAAAACAATGCCACAGATAATATTTGCCATTCACTTCATGGCTGTATATAGGATATTGCTGTGCGTAAATTAGCTGCCCGTTCACCTACAAAAATATACAGTCACTGCACACCCAGGAAATACTCTTAAGCGATTGGAGACGGTTCCACAGGATATTGCTCTATGTTAAATGCAAGGATTCTTATTATGAACTGATGTGATTTTCCTTTCCTTTTCCCCTTTCTCTCCTGTCTCACGATCGATGTAGCTTTGCCGCTCATCATACAGTGACCATTCAACAGCAGAGAGCTAAGGCAGTGAGCACAAACAGGCTATTCAACAATTGGGTGTTAGATTGGCGAGTTCCTGTCTTCAGTCACTATCCCCACATGAACATGTTCTGAGTGGGGGAGTGGAAGAGAGGAGGAGGCAATAGCAGACAGTAAAGAGAACCCATCAGTCTAATTTGGTCACCCTGATGTAATGTGCTCTTTAATGGTAATGAGCTGACACATTTTCCTCTTCGTTAACTGTACTTAGTGGAGACAGCTGAAGGAAGGCTTGGCTGTGCATCCTAAGTTGTTGGACGGCTGCTGAAATAGGATCTACTGCGGCGCTCACTCACGTATTAGGTCAAAGATCTGTAAAATATCTTGCATCTGCTAACAAACAACAACAACAACAACTTGCATGTATATAGCGGCCTTTATGTGGGGCAGCATCCTCCGCTGAGCGCTCACTACCGTAACTGTTTCACCAAACACTATTCCCGAAGTAAAGCCACACCGCAGTATTGTACGTTCTACATTTATCTTAAATATTGTATTCCCGAATGAGTTGTATTTCCTGTTGTTAGGTAGGAAGAGCTCTCCTTTATCTCGCTGATATCAACGTGAGTGGATGTGTGACATTGCAGTCGCAGTCTAATTATTTGATGGTCAAATGGTAACGGAAGCTAGGCCTGCAAAATGTATTGACAGATTTTATCTTAATATACAGTACTACGTTTTGTGTCCCGGAAAATATTATCCATTATGCTCAAGGAAATCTCAAATCCATTTCTGGCTCATCTACTTACTAAACTATTGATACTGAAAAGGTGATGGAAACCGATTCAATAACAACTCTCACAAGGGAATCAGATAGGGACTTGAAAAGGAAAAATTTGCAAAGCTTTAGGGAGAGAGCGGTGGTGGGAGTGGGACTGATTGGGCAGCTCTTCCAAAGAGCCGCACGGGCACAATGGGCCGAATGGCCTCCTTCTGTGCTGTAATATAAAATGTTCTAAAAATATATGAAATATTCTAAAAATATTAACTGAAAGAAGCTAAGTGATGTATATGTAGAAGAGTCCAACCTCTCTTACTGTTGGTTCTTATTTTACCAAAGTGTGAGATGGGCTTTGTCTTTGATAAAATACGATACCAATGTCGTATGGACTGTACAGATGGCCCTGAAGGGTTTAACACCCACTCTTATTTTTAGTATTTTCTTAACCAACCAAGTAAAGTAAGGAACAGCTGGTTCCCAGCCAGGAAACTTGAGCTAGGCCTGAGATCACTTCCTAGTTTTATTCCTTAGAAACATCTACAACATGCCCTGGCTAATAGGATCAATCCATAGATTTCCGAAGTTAAAGCTCCTCACTGGAGTCAAGTCGTTCACTCCTCTCTGACTTGCTTCTGGCTCCCAACGTGCTAAACGTGAATAGAGGAAAAAAACAGCGGAGAAACTGCTTTCTCCTGCACACCCGAAAAGCAACCTTACAAAGGACAGAACCTCAGAGCAAAGAATCCAACAGAGGTGTAATTTGTTTTCTGTCTGTTTTTCTAGTATCGACGGACCGGTAAGTGAGGATAATGCAGAATTTTTAATCAAACGGGTAACGTGATGTCTTGTTTGATAATCTGACAGTATGTGACACTGCTGCGAGCAATTGGCTGCCACGTTTCTCTTTACGGTACAGTATATTCTGTGAAGCGCTTTGAGACGTCTCGACAACGTGCTATATCAGAGGCAAGGATTATTGTTATTATTATGACATTATGTATTACACCATTTGTTTGTAAACCAGGGCACGGAGATTGCATTATCTGGTTCAACCATGTGATTGTTAATGAGGTTTTTTTGTTCAGAGCATATCGGTTGGTCAAAGATCGGCCACGTGAGTTCAAATTCAATTCGAAGTCATTTTATCACCCGACAGAGCTTAAGTGCATGTCCTCCAGGTGTGTTTTAAGTGCTGCGGGTAAGGTCTAAATGGTTAGAAATTCTAAAAGATAAGTGTTTTCAATTATCGCCATTAGAAAGTTCAGCACTGATCACAGCGGTTATCTGCTAAACGCAGCAGTTTGAATGAAAGGGATAGAAATTCTTCGGAAGACTTACTTCTTAAGTTTATTTCCTAAAGGTTACGACTGCAGCTTCTTTTGCAGATTTCACTTGTTTGACATAAAAGCTTTCACAGAGTTTGACTGCGACTCTTGAGACTGCGGAGGCACCCCATGATCTTAATGTGGTTTAAACGAGGAAAAATGCTGCTATTTTTAACCCGCTTTATGCCAGCGTGATTCACAGAACAGCATCCGTTTACCTCAATACCAGTTTCAAGCTGCCACGAGGAAATAGCAAACTATTATTAGATAATGATTAATTTTCAGGATAAATCAGGAGACGCTAACTTAAGGTCCCTGAAACCGAGCAATTCCTGAGATAAAGTTGCACTTAACCAACTGACTAACGAACCCACTCACCAAGGGTTAACTAGTGTGACTTGTTGATCTGCCAACCTCCAAGTAGAAGTGTCTGGGATACAGTGACTGCACACATGTGGTGTTCTATCATTCTTGTGGGATTACCATAGATTCACACAGAGACAAGTTGAAAATATGAGAAGTATGAGTAACACTCCAACAGCGTGTTTTTTCTACATAAATATCTCGCCCTAAGCTCCCTGTGAATTTACGGGAGTTATAGTGACAGTTACATGAGCTAAGACAGAATAATGTCTAGTAACATTATCCTTGCATTCGATATAGCGCCCGATCACATCTTCGAGGCGTCTCAAAGCGCTTCACAGAATAGACTGTAAAGTGAATTGACTGTATATTTTGTGGGCGAAACGCGGCAGCCGATTGCGCACAGCAGCGTCCCCGCAAACAGCCGTGGATTGAGGGACTAAATAATTATTATTTAGGCGCTCCGAGACGCCATCCGAAGTGAAGGGCGCTATATAAATGTAAATTGCTGTTGTTTTTGTTGTGCTATGTTAATATTGTCCAGACTAGATCACTTCCAGGTAATATCAGTGAGCAAGTCATCAGCAGTTAATTGGAAATGTAAAGTAGTGGCTCAAAATGAATGATAAAAGCTTCCTAAATTTGCTGTAGGTGTGTTAAGACCCTTAAGCTTGTTAATCGCTGAGCTCCACTGGGTAATAAAATTGATTAGGAACCCTTTATGAAACCTAACAACATTAAACAGAATGATTCTGGTTAATGTTAAACAACATTGAACATAATGAGTTCAATTTCAGAGAGCGCGAGTGAGCGCCGGTAACATTCACACTCAAAACTCAAAGGCTTACCCCTCTCGTAGAGTCTAATGTCAAACAGTCACAGAATAGTCAAGATACAGAGTTTTTACATGTTTGGTTTGTCATAATTTCGTTGTGGTCATAGGAACATAAGGACAGGAGTAGGTTGTTCAGCCCCTAGAGCCTGTTCCGCCATGAGATTCGATCATGGCTGATTCTGTACCCGAACGCCAAATGGTTTAAAATATTACTGTTGTTTTTTTTTAAAAAAAAGACAGATTAGATAATGTAGACCACGATAAGGTGCCTTTTCTGGTACTGAACAGTCGAACCAGAGGAACAGCCTGCGATTGATGGGGGTAAATTCAGAACAAATCTGCGTAAACACTACTTCAGGGAGTGCATCAAAGCTTGCGTGTCTGAGCCATGGTAATGAAAACAGTCACAGTGTCTTGTGGTTCACAGCAGAGATAGGGAATTACTGACTGTTTTGTGTGCGCATTTGAATTATTTTAAATCACTGACACCCATTTGCATAGTTAGTACAATAGCAATACTATTCTCTGCATTTGGTATATCGCAGTCAATAGTCATTGAGACGTCTCAAAGCGCTTCAGAGCATATGCTGTAAAGTGAATTGTGTGGGCCAAACTAATTCTGTGTAGTGGTAACCTCTCTTTATAAAAAAATTGCTTATTACCCCTTCTCAATACCCAGAGAATTTTATTTCCGATGTTTATCATTTTCACAAATAGGCATCTGTGTACGGAAATGTAAGAATTAAAACCCTAATGTTTTCTAAAGCAATAAAAGGGGCCGGAAACTTTTGGGGGAAAAACTAACAACAACATAATAATTGATTATTCACATTAAAATTCCCCAAAGATTTTTTTTACTGAATATGAATGATATCAGGTGCATTTATATATATATCAAACCTAGGTCCTCTCGCTTTAGCCACTAAGCTACGGGACTGTTTACTGTTTAATTTATTGCTGAGGGCTGCAGAAAGCTGGGAAGCAGTTTAAAAAGCATCGTTCGACATTGGTAAATGCCCTGAAATTGAAGAGCAGACCACCACGGAGTGAATGTCTGGAGCAAATCTATTTGCAAATGAGAATAAGATATAATGTCAGAGTTGTTTGTGTTTGTCTGATGGCCCCTTGAGCACAAGGGTATAGAATTTACCTTCGTCAGAGATAAGGGAGAGGATGTTCCAAGAGCTTTGGTCACACAGTAATCAGCTTTTAGTAGCTCTTTGGTCACAGTAAAACTGGGCATCAGTGCTTGTGAGATACACCCTCTGGGTTACTTCCAAGATAAGGACGCATAAAGCTTTTGCAGCTGTTACAAGTGACAACATATCCATTTCACTCCTTAGCAAAATGGGAAACAAAATACAGAGAAAAAATAAAAGCAAGTGTAGGGAGAAATCAGCTATACCCACTCGAGTATTTTGCGTTGCCTTCTATATTGTTCAAGTGCCTCAATTTGTATCTATTCCAACTTATGTTTCACTCACAAAATATACAGTCAATTCACTTCACAGTATATTCTGTGAAGAGCTTTGAGACGTCTCGAAGACGTGATAAGGCGCTGTATCAAATGCACGGATTATTATTAATATTATGTCGACTTCTTATACTAATTTATTAACTTACTTCGAGAATATGATCAACAGCTCAATTGAGTGATGCAATACAATATAATTGAGCGCAAACAAAAATCTGCCGGATAAAGTGTCTAGAAACTAAACCCATTGAGACTGATGATAATCAATAATAATAATAATATTCCTTACATTTGATATAGGGCCTCATCACGTCATTGAGACGTCTCAAAGCGCTTCACAGGATGTACCCCAAAGTGAATTTATTGGGTATTTTGGTGGGGAAAATCATTTATTTCAGCTTCGGAAATGGCTTGAGTAAATGATTACTAGAGCCCGTGTGCTAGGTTCAAAATGTCAAGTGGAATCAAACAATCTGAGGTCGGTGCTGTGACCTTCCGGTCTTGCACAGCGTCAGAAGAAGAAGAAAAGAGAAAACCGAGCCACTAAAATTCTGCTGAATACCATTGTGGAGTCCTGTAGCTCAGTGGTTAGAGCACTCGCTTTGCAAGTGAGAGACCTGAGTTTAATTCCCGGCGAAACCTTGGGCAAGTTTCCTTACTCCACACAGAGCCTAACAATAGTCCCTCCAAAACCAAAAACAATAATAAATTGGTCATTTTCAATCTATGACTGTTTGTGGGGCATTGGTGTGAGCAATTGGCTGCCGCGTTCGCCCACAAATATACAGTCAATTCACTTTACAGTGTGTTCTGTGAAGCGCTTTGGGACGTCCTCCCGACGTGAAAAGCGCTATATCAAATGCGAGGATTATTATTATTATTATTCTGCGGCTCCAGAATTGTACGTCTTGTGACGACCACAAAGAATTCCCCGGCTCGCAGCGCAGGCCAGCCCCAGTTTAATAAGCTGCTGGCACGACTTCTGAGGTTCATCTTAGATCAGATGATGCGAATGTCAGCTGAGTCACACACATTTACTACCGACTAATCTCCCGGGTGCCACGATGTGTCATTACGGCACAAATCCGATGCCTCAGCCACTGGATGTTTAAGCCGTTTCATTCGATGTGATTCACACTACTGCTAATAACACTCCTTGATTACAATCCTTACAGTTGAGCCGGCAACCTTATCCCGTCATTGAGATTGCCTCAAAGCGCTTCACGGTAGAATGTAGTGACTGTGCATTTTGTGGGCGAAACGCAGCAGCACGATTTGTGCACAGCAGCGTCCCCACAAACACTGGGACTTGGGACGTCCTCCCGACGTGAAAGGCGCTCTACAAATGGAATCTTATTGTTGTTGTTGGGACTAATAATAATCCTTGCATTTGGTAATAGTGCCTTTCATCTTCCGTGAAGCGCTTTGAGACGTCCCGAAGATGTGCTGAGGAGCTGTACCAAACGCAAGGATTATTATTGTCGTTGTATCATCACTGGGAGGCACTGCAGTGGTGGCAGCACAGCGTAGGTTTAACATTTCTCGGTCGAGACATGAGACGGAGCCGGAAAAGCTGAGGAAACTCTTGTGTTTGTCCAGGTTGGCAGAGGAGCGCCCCCTGTTGGCGTCTTATAGAGCGTGCGGCCTGCCCTCTCCTTGTGCTTCTTTGGCTGCCGTCAATAGGAGAATGAACAGCAGGGCTTGATTGCAGCCGGAACATAAACCAAGCAATAAAAGGTAGTTGTTGAGTTTATTATCCCAACTGACTTTTTACAACTATCAAATATTTTGTCCCCTCTCCTCGACTCTGACGTCAGTCCCTTTCACACACAAACACTCACTCCACTTTACCGTATGTAATAATAATACAATGATAATAAACCTTGCGTTTGATACGGCGCCTGATCGCATCTCCGAGACGTCTCAAAGCGTTTCACAGAATATACTGTGAAGTGAATTTGACTGTATGTTTTGGGGGCGAAACTCGGCAGCCGACTGCACACAGCAGCGTCCCCACAAACAGCCGTGGGTTGAGTGACCAAATTATTAGTATTTCCCGTGAAGCACAGTGAGAGGTCGAGATATGATAGGCACTATACCAAATGCAAGGATTATTATTAGTCTCGGGTGCCCACGACTTGCATTAATGCTCCAATATAAGGTTGAATTTTTAGCAAACTATGATACTGACCTCATTTTATTCTATTCCACAGGAGTCGATTATATTGGTTCGGAAAGGAAGTCGCTGTGCGAGATCTATGTACAGCAGAAATTATCATGCCACGGTAAGTATGAAGAGGTTATTCCCTTAATATAAGGACACCGTGTGCATTGTTTTCAATTAATTTTTGAAACCTGGCGAAGTTCATAATCAATGTTGCCAAGCTTGCTAGCAATATGAAGCAGTGGCTAGTACACTCCCCCACCCACTCCCACTCATTAAAACCATTGGGGGATGAAATTATGTTTACATCCTCTCCCCCCTCACCAACTCTGAATTGCTGACATTTCAGTTTCACTATTAAACAACCTTGGGACGTCCTCCCGACGTGAAAGGCGCGATACAAATGTAATCTGTTGTTTGTCGTTGTTGATGTATCCGGCAATATTGTTCTGGGCCCAGTCTCTGTGGGCAAGACCCGAAACAGAAATTAGAACCGGTAACTGCAATCGAATATTCAACCCAAAGTCCTGACTCCGTTTTGAAAGCAAAAGCAAGTACGTACAGATGGAACAACAGTTCAAAGAAACCAATGCACCTCAATCAATAAAAACACACTCACAAATTACGTGTCCGCCTATTCTCTGAATTTGATGATGATATTGATTTCTACATTAAAACTAAGAGACTGAGTGCTATTTACTAACCCAATGCCTTAGGTCAATTACAGTGGTGTTGGAAATGAGTTCTGAATCACATTCATTGCAACATCACCATCGCTGTCGCTGTACAAGCTTTCTGGCTCTCTGTTTGGTAACTCTCTGTGCCAGGCTCCGAGCAAGATGTTTTGTACGGAACTGATGTCGCAATCGTCTCAAAGAGATAATAACACTGAGTGGCTTTGAAGTGAAATATGTAGGTAGGAAAATACAGTAGCTAATCTGTAATAGCTAAACATTCTTACAGACAGCAATACGATTGTGTTTGTGCTGTTTAGATGATAGACACTGAAAGTCCAGAAAGAAATATAAACTTGGTATTAGTTATACACACTCCCGATAAGAAGTTGTGATCTCTAGCAGGACCCAACAACAACAGCTTGCATTTATATAGCGTCCCTCACTCAAGGTGGTGTCCCAAAGCGCTTCACAGATTATTCTGTAAAGTGAGATTGACTGTATATTTTGTGGGCGAAACGCGGCAGCCAATTACGCACAGCAGCGTCCCCACAAACAGCCGTGGATTAAAGTGACCAACTTATTATTATTGTTATGGTTATTTTTTGAAGGGATTTATTAACCCCCGGAAAAGCCAATCCGCCAATCGACTAACAAGCGGGTTCCCACTTACTGCTAAGTAAACAGAGAGCGTGGGAAACTTGCCCAGCATTTCGTCCCGCCCGGGAATCGAACCCAGTCCTCTCGCTCGCGAGGAGAGTGCTCTAACCACTGAGCTGCAGGACTCCACTTCTTAACGGATTCCTGGCGAAAGGAGTAACAATGGTGAATGCTGATATTTCTCTCCGCCGTCTCCTTCCATTTCCGCTGATGTAAAATGACTCGTCTCACCAGGGCGCAGAAGAAAACAACCCGTGTCACTAACATTAGCCTCTTCTTCGGCAAAGGAGAGTTCTAGGAATCCTCAGTTGCACTCCACATTATCTGTCCACACTCAGCAGGTAGTGAAAAGCAGCCCATCTCATTTAGCTCTTGAGTTTTTTTTTCATTGTGTCGCCTCTGTAAATATGCAGCTCTCTGGCTTTCTTTCAAAACAGTAATGGGTTTGAATGCAGTGGAGTCCATTTATGATAGATGTTAACCTGCAAACGGCATGACACAGAGGACTGATACTGAAAGCTCCTGATCATCGCAAGCGCATAACTATACAGTTTGCAGTAATGCCTTTCCCGTCGCTGAACTTGCTACCAGAGTCCTTCTATCAATCATTTTGAATAAAATTAGTAAATGTAATTATTTGAAAGCAGAGACATTTTCAGCAAGCGTTTGTCTGTGTGTTTGCCGATGGTTCGATGGCATCAATCACTTTGTTTGTCCGATATCTAATGACCAGAGAGAAACTATCTTCCTGGGGAAGGGGGGCGAGGGAGGTAAGGGGCCGCTATTGGAATATCGGTATCAAATTGATCATTTATGGCCAACTTGGTAGCCCAGCTCCTGAGCCAGGCGTACTCCAAAGAACTGCTGATGACAGCTCGGCCCGGCCCGGCCCATCGGCAGCACCTGGAAGGGCAGACCAGTCACTGGGGGCAGGGAATCCTCCCCCCCAGCTCCTGTTAACCCTGCAGCCAAAGCCCTAGCGGGTAGGATGGTGCGAGCTGGACAAACAGCAGGAAGGCTTCCCAGACGGTGCTTTCGATAGCAAGCTGTGTGTGGGTTTATGCGATCAGGGTGAAAATAATGCACGTCTCTCGCATGGTTCTCCTCGCCCAAAGAAACCGTTCGCCAAATGCTTTTCACAAGAAGTTAGTGAAGGCATTTTGAACTTATTGAACTTCTTCCTTTCAGACCCAAAGTTCTCCTTGTATTACCCTTTCAGGGACCAGCGCTGGAATAGCTCCTGTGTTTTCAAAGGTACATGAGAAATGATTTATAATAATAACAACAATAATAATAATCCTTGCATTTGATATAGCGCCTTATCACGTCGTTGAGAAGGTCTCAAAGCGCTTCACAGAATATATTATAAGTGAAATGACTGTATATTTTGTGGGCGAAATGTGGCAGCCAATCACGCCCACAAACAGTCATGGATTGAGTGATCAAATATTGTTTTTTTACTGATTTACTGAGAGAAACATGAATATGCTCTGCCATTCAGCCTTTACTTTGCCCACTATTGTCTGGTTTCTAAGAAGCCCATTAACTATGTTACCTGAGTAACTCTACTCCCTGTGCCTTGATCTTTTTAAAAGTATTTGAATGGATGCAGGTTTGGACCTGTTTTCACTATTTCCACAGGGTGTTGTTGATAGGGGATTAATACAGTGTCGCGTAGAGCTTAGATGTGAAATAAACTTTGGTTGATGAGTCGAGGTTACCACTGACTAACTAGGTAACTTTGGCTGCTAAGACGTCATATGTTTTAGGTTTTAGTGGTGGTTAGAGGTGCAGATGGCTTTTCGAATGGCAACTTACCCATCTCGAATGTTCTCACGTTCTTACCAATCTCCACATGACCAAATATGATCTTTGGTCTGAGTGATGAATGATTTATGGATTATTTGCACGCGAACTGTCCTTCCTACATCACCTCGTACTGCTTTAGCACAGAATCATGTCTTCCCTCTCCCCGTAGTCTCTGCAAGATGTCACTTCGCCAACGAGTCAGCTAGTGGTCCTGGAATGCAGAATCCAGGGGGCACCCCCACTCAGCGTGCAGTGGTACAGGCAGGAGACCCTCATCAAGGACTCTGCGGACTTTCGCATCCTAAGGAAAAGTAGGTGACATCCATCGATTCAAGGTTTTCAAAGTTAATTACAGGGCGGCCACAAAGTGGTGAAATCGGACAGGAATTTGGTGCGTGTGTTAGGGCTTAAATCTGATCACACGGGAGCCGGGGATTTAAAGCTGGGCTATTTGCCATTGAGTTCATATCAGCCTGACTGCAGGATGTATGTACCTGCCTCAGGATACAAAGCAAAGGTGGGTAATGAGCCGGGTAAGATAACTGTTGCACAGTGTGGAGCATGAACTGAAAAGGTAAAGCACAGTCTGTGGGAGAAGTCGCTGGGAAACACTCAGCAGGTCAGGCAGCATCTATGGAGAAAGGCAAGTGAGTCAACGTTTCGGGTCCACGACCCTGTCTTCGAGTGTCACCACGAGATGAGTTCACTGTCACAGAATCGGGGGAGAGAGGGTGGGGGAGGAGGGGAGAGTGGGGGGAGGGGAGGAGGGGGGAGGAGGAAAGGGGAGAGGAGGGAAAGGGAGGGGGGGGAGCAGTGGGGAGAGCGGGAGGGAAGGGAAAGAGGGGGAGGGGAGGGGGGGAGGGGAGATGGGGAGTCACATGGAAAGAGCTGGTTTGTAAATGACCGTATTGATCAACAATGTGTTCAGTAACACCAGTGTTGATTATCATAGAATAGAATCGTAGAACAGTACAGCACAGAAGGAGGCCATTCGGCCCATCGGGCCTGTGCCGGCTCTTTGGAAGAGCCGCCCAATCAATCCCACTCCCCCCTCAACAAACACATCATGGTATTTCAATCGTCACCCTACAACAAAGACAACAACAACAACAACTTGCATTACACAGCGCCCTTCGAGCAGGGTAGTGTCTCAGTGCACTTCACAGTGGCGGGGCCTGATGCTGAGCCGGGGGGGGGGGGGGGGTGGTGGGGGAGGTGACCGTAATCACGGTCAAAGAGGAAGATCTTCAGTCATGACCTGAAAGAGGGGAAGGAGTGGGAGAAGGGCGGAGGGATTGGGGGGAGACAGCTCCAAAGCTTCGGGGCGTAGCGGCTGAAAGCGCGGCTGCCGATGGTGGAGCGGAGGGGACGAGGGACAAGCAGGGAAGCCTGAGCCAGCGGGCGGTTTCACAGAAAATTAACTGTACTTTTTTCTTTCTTTGCTGCACCCGCCTGACTGCCTTCCTGCAGAGGCCTGTTTAACCGTGCTACCTGGTGAGCAACGCATTTACATTTAAAGTGGTTCAGTTATCAGCAGCAAACATCTTGTATTTATTTAGTATCCTTCACTCAGAGCGCTTAAAAACACTTAGAAACACCAACGTTACATGTCCTGCCATTTTTCTCAGACCTCGATTTGAGCTTTAAAGCCATGTAGGATTATGGTTATTTATATTATTTCACTTACGCCTTTTCAAGTCTTATACTATATCGGGGCCATTGGACATTATAATACAACATAATAATCCTGGCATTTGATACGGCGCCTTATCACGTCTTCGAGATGTCTCAAAGGCGTTTCACAGAACATACCGTACAGTGAATTGACTGTGTGTTTTGGGGGCAAATCGTATCTAACGCAACCATAGATCAGAATGTATGTGAGAATTCAGATTTGGCTTTTCCCTGTATAAAATCTAATTTTAGAAATCTGTGTAAAATCCGGCTTGAAAATATTACAGGCGGAGGTGGATGGGTGGTGCGGGCTTTGTCAAGGTAGAAAGGATATTCAAGGTCTCTAGTAGATAATGACAGGAGTGTTCAAATTATACAACGCTGCCTGTTAATTTAGGCAGTTCATTCTCCTGTTTGTCAGTGTATTAGATGATAGACGAGAGCAATTTTCTTGTTCAGATTTCCATTTTAATGGCGTATCTGTGTCTGTTCGGAAGGAGCCAAGCGCAGGATATTTGCCAAAGTCACGCTGTACAATTTATGTTTATTGCAGAAGATGTTTGTACACTGGTCATTACCGAAGCTTTCCCAGAAGATTCCGGGGTTTATAAATGTGTCGCCACCAACCAGAATGGCACCTCATCATGTTCTGGCCAGCTGACAGTCTATTCAGGTACAGCACGCAAACTGTCTGTGTTCCTGTTTTGTCAACACAGCGAAAAGGTGTGATATAAAAACATGGAAACAGGAGGAGGCCATTCAGCCCCTCGAGCCTGTTCTGCCATTCTATTAGATCGTGGTTGATCTGTACCTCAACTCCAATTTTTCCCCACATCCCTTGATCCCCTGACCCTAACCAACATCTCCTCACCTCAGTCTTGAAGATGTGAATGGATTCAGCCATAATCCACAGCCTTTTGGGGGAGAGGGAGAGAGAGAGAGAGTTCCAGATTTCCATGACCCTTTATGTGAAAAACTGCCCCTGATTTCACTTGTAAATGGTCTGGCTCTAATTTTAAGATTATGCCCCCCACCCCCACCCCCCCACTGTTCTGGATCCCCCACCCCACCCAGAGGAAATAGTTTCTCTGTATCAGTAACACAACACTACAAATTTGAGAGAAATCAATGAACTGTGCTCTGTCACTTAAATAATCATGGATATAAACGTTGAGCTGTCTCAAAGCCCTTCGTAGAATATGCTGTAAAGTGGATTGATGGCCGGTGTATTTTGCGGGCAAAAGAATTCAAAAAGAATTCAATGAGAAATTATTCGAAATAAAATGAAGAGCGCACGTTTTAAACACATTATTAATGTTGACCCCCACACTATTTACGGTTTCATTCCATTTCCAGAAAATCAAGACACCCAGAAGAGTGAAGCCTTTTATCCGGGCAGATATTCAGATCTTCCTCCCCCAGCAAACGGGAAGGGAAGAGACTCGGGGATAAAACCAACAACAAATGCCAACGTGCAACACGCTTCTGAAAACTCAAAGCAAATGACCCATCAGCAGGTCCGAGTTTGTCCAGTTAACGCAATCGCTTCTCCATCCCAGAGGACTGAAGTGTCGAACAATCCCAGTTTGTAAGTAAGGATCCAATCAAGGTCAAGGTTTTGCTCTTCACTATTCACACTTCCACCTTTCTGTTATCGTGTTGGATAGTACACGGCAAAAAAGGTGCCTCGAAGGCGCTGTATCAAATGCGAGGATTATTGTTATTATCTTAAACCGTAATCATTCAGCTCTTAATACGCAATACATCTGCCTAAATCCCTCCGCCTCATCCCCTCCTGTACCTACTCTTCAAATGTCGTTTTGACATTTTAACTCTTCCACCTCTTACGGTCATCTCCCCTTTTCTCCGTGGCTCCTAAGCTAATCAGAAAGACGCCGTAGAAATGCAAGTCGCTGTTGTAACTGCCCTTCACAGAAACTTTGTGAAGTGGTTGAGAGGTTCCCCGTAGGTGAGGTTCATTTGATGACATGTCGTTGCAATAGTATAACCCAGCGAGGGCCAGCTGGTGGCTCGGGGCTGTCCCAGTAAAGCCGATAACAGTCTCACTTTTCCAGTCTGGTTTCCCTGTTTTGAGCACGAGAGCGTTAATTCGTCTTCTCTCAAAGGAAAGGTTGAGTGTGGCGGAATCTTTGTTGCAGCTGCCGTTAGCGACCCCCCGGAGTGTGTTTGGGGTAACAGTACACCTTGCCGTGGCCTCAAACCCAATTCCAGGAAGAGCTTCCTTAACAAACTTGCCGAGCAAAACAAGTAAACAAGACAACGGCGCTCGCTCCGGCCTTTCCTGTCTTTAGTCAGCTCAGCCCCCAGGCCACTCCGTAAACAAGACACCCTCTTGCAACCAAGTCGCAACATAAGACTTGAAAGAGGAAACCCCCGGGAGAGTCAAAAAGTTGATGGGCTTTTCATAAAGTCTCTCTCCAGGGTAAGAATTGGAAACCTTCTCATATTGTACGTAGCACTTAAAGACGAATAACACAAATAGAAGCACTTGTGAGCTGCCCATTCAGCTAACATTATAATACCCCAGTGTGGGGTAGGAGATCTCACTGCACTTCACACAGAGAGAGAGAGAGAGAGGGTGAGCTGCGGCCAACATATCCCATGTGGAAACATGAAACCTTTGATGGTGAGCGCAGCAGCTGAAGGCTAAAACTCTACTGCGTGTAACTGGAAACCCAATGTGCACAAAGCTAATCAAGTCAAACCAGTGCCAGGTAGAGCAGAGGCTTTCCTGCCCTGCACACAGAGGCCGAAGCCATAATAACCCACGTGCAGGTAATTCAACCAAATAAATGATGCTCAACTTTGATTGTGCAGGAGCTGGTGACACCTGGCGGTGACGATTGGTGTTTGTGGTTGCCCGCGTCCGAATTTGTTTCGTCGAACATTTTCCAAACATTTTCCAAACTGAAAACGGCAACGATAACAATAATAATCGCCCCGGCATTGGATACAGCGCCTGATCACGTCTTCGAGACGTCTCAAAGCGCTTTGCGGGATACGCTGTAAAGTAAATTGACTGTTTGTGTATTTCTGGGCGAAACACGGCAGCCGATTGCGCACAGCAGCGTTCACCCCCCCCCCCCCCACCCACCCCAACCCCGTGGATAAATCTGGCAGAGCTCCTTCCTCAACCGGTAGAGTGTCTTTCTGCTTCCCCCCCACCCCCACAAAAAAATAAATCAAGGGTCCCTCAGCGACTGATAGAACCGAACCTGGGTTCTGCAGTTCAAATGGCAAACTGTTGCTATTGGCAACACTATTGATCAGCTCTTGGCTGTTTCGCTCTTGAGAAGGAATGCACCATTACGAATCCAGTTTGCGGTGAGGGTTGAGCTGCTTTAACCAGTAACAATGAACCGACTCGAGTTGCCTGACTGGACATATTCTGAGAAATATTCCGACGAGGGAGATGTTTTTCTTTAGGTCTCAAGGTTGAGACTTGGCGTAGTTCAGGCAAAAAAAAAAAGCCCAGAGCAACGTTTGGAGGAAGGATGAGGAATTATGGTTTGTTAAAAAGAATATCTTATGATGCAGCGAGTTTCATACGAGACCAATGGCAACTACACGATCACAACAACGTGTGTTTGCACAGCGTCCCAGAGCCCTCGACAGCGATGATGGGGAAGGAAAGGGGAGAGGCGGAGGGACAGAGAGAGAGGAAGAGCGTTCCGGAGTTGTGGGGCGCAGTGACTGAAAGGCACTGCCTCCTTGTGATTTTGCCGGCTCGCTCACTGCTATCCATTGCTCAAAGACCTGCCCCGATGTCAATGGGAGGTTAAGCTTTCAAGGTTGCCTGAGGCAATTTGCATGTGATTTGCAAACTAGTTCCTGAACATTGGCTCTCAAATCCTGCAGGCGAGATCCTTCTCGTGCCTCTACGTGAGATCTTTGCTGTGCGTCAATGACCGTCTTGTTTTCGGGCCACTATGTTTTCATTAAAAATTATCACAAAGCACCACCCCCCCTCAAAAAAGTACATATTATGTTTGAATCCTGCAAACACCAAGTTAGGAATTTGCTTTATTATTTATTATCTGTGAGAAATACTACTGCGAAACCTGCATCACCCGATAGAGTTAATAATAAGTTAATAATAATCCTTGCATTTGATGCAGGGCTTTATCACGGCTTTGAGACATCTCAAAGCGCTTCACAGAATATAATAATAATAATACTGTGGAGTGAATTGACTGTGTATTTCGTGAGCAATACTCTTAGATAAGAGTATCTGTGCCAGAAACAGGTGCACTCGCTGGAGTATGTGTATACATATATATAAGTCACAGTATTCACAGTTTGCTGCTTTGACCAACGTTGCAAATGCCGCTCTCAAACGGTTGTCAGAAGATTAATGCTAAATTAGACTGAGTTAGTGCAATGGAAACGGCAGCCTGGTGTGTTAGTGCATCAAAGTGCTGTGCCACAGATTCGTCCTGTCGTGCCTCAGGTCTCGGCCAGCCAGGACTCCTGCTGTCAGAGTCAAGTGTAAGTGAATCATTTCACCTCCATTTGCCAAATTAAACCCGCCTCATACCTTCATCTAATACCTACCTCCCGACAACTCACTCAAGGTCAATGTGAGAGTAAGAACACTCTCGCAACCCGTTTGATAGGTGAAAGGCGCCACACGGGTGTAATGTGTTGTTGCTGTTGTTGCTGTTTGTCTGAAAGGCCGCCTTCTATCGTGTAAATCTATTCCTGTTTAAAAATTAATAATAATAATTTGGTCATTTCAATCCACAGCTGTTTGTGGGGACGCTGCTGTGCGCAATTGGCTGCCGCCTTTCGCCCACAAAAATATACAGTCAGTTTACTTCATAGTCCATCCTGTGAAGCGCTTTGAGACGTCTCAAAGCCGTGATGAAGTGCTATATCAAACGCAAGGATTATTATTAAGTTCTGTGATCAAAACAACTCCCATTTATTTATTTATTATTTTTTCCACTATCGTAAGAACTAATTTAGGAACCAGCACCTACACTGGAGACTCTTACTCTTAAACCAGCAGCATGTTCTGCCAGAGAAAAATTCTTTTACGGCAGAATCACTGAGCTACAAATAGTCTCTCTCTCTCTTTCTATATATATAATATATATCTACACATAGTGCAGTTCCCTCCAGTGGTGAAACATTCTATTGCACTTTTAGACTGAGAAAGCTTTGCTTCGCAATTAAATTAGATTTTTTTTCAAAAAAAATGTTCGCTTGATGTGTTCTCTCTCTAACATATCCAAGGCCAACGCTTTAGATCTCGTACATCAAAGTGCCAAGTGCCGAACGATCTCACCTTTCAGTTGCTATGGTTTCTCCAGCTGCAATTCCTTTCCATAAAAAAATTTAGAACATTTCTTGAAAAGAAAATGTCTAAACCCGGAATAAGCTCCATACAAAAATCCAGTCATTTCCTATAATAAAAAGGGCCTAAGAACCTATTTGTAGGGCACTCAGCACTGTTATTTCACCAAAGATAATAATAATAATAATAATAATAATAATCCTTGCATTTGATCCAGCGCCTCATCACGTCTTAGAGACGTCTCAAAGCGCTTCACAGGATACGCTGTGAAATGCATTGACTCTATATTTTGTGGACGATATTTTGTTTGTCCTGAAGATAAGTTTGCCCTGCAATTGTGAGAGGAGACGACAACAGCAAATGGCGCATTTGTATAGCACCTTCCACGTCAGGAGGACAGGCTGCTACCCCCATCCACACCATCTCCGCGCTCTCAGCCGGTTTCCCGGGTGTCACGCGGAGCAGATGACAGATGGGCAGCTCCCGACTCACAGGGTTTCTGACTCTCTCCATTGTCTGAAATCAATAATCTGGCCACCAAACTCTTTAGCACAGGGAGAGAGCAATCTCCCCTTTGTTTCCTGCCAGTCGCTCATTCCTCATCCCCAGGGAAGCTTTTGTGTGTGAAGCCTTTTCAATCCTTCCCAGCGAGGTCCCCGCGTCAGCAGTGGCTTCCTACGGTGGCCGGCGCCTCGAGCTTTCGAGGGGAAAGTCCAATTAATCACCTCCCCACAGGGGTCGCTGCTATTGTCCAACTGCTGTTTGCTCGGCTCCTGTTGAGAGGCACCACACGGCTAACACTGACGTCAACATCATTTGGTTTGCGACAAACTAACTTTCCCGATCAGTTTTTACCCAGAAGCTCACGCAGGGGCGGGTGGGTGGGGGGAGGGGGGGAAATGTGATGGAATAGCCATACTTTATAATATTTTATAGAGCGCCAATTATTTTTCTAGCTTTCTCGCTTCCCTGGATCTGCCTCTCTGCTCTGCTCCTGCTCAGGGCTGCTCTAGTTGGGGTTGAGGGTCCACGGGGCTCTGGTTACGCTCCTGTGCCCTTCACCAGTGACCATGTGTGAGCTTTGACAATGGCCGACAACAAGACACTCAATTTCTATTTTTATTTTTTTGGTGGACACGTGCGGAAACCCACCACCGTTGCTTAAGAGTCTCCAAATCGAGCTGAGAATTCCACGCATCCCACCTACACATGGAAATCCCAGGGAGATAGCTTGTTGGAATGGAATGCTCTCTCTCGCTCTCTCTCGC